TGGAGAACGATTTTAGTTCGAAAATTGGATAGTTTGATGATACTAGAAAAATAGGAAGCATTGGAATTTTTAAATGTTTGCAATTTTTTTGTAGTAGAATTAACTTTATATCATTTTCTTCAAGTTCTTTGTGAAACGCATAACGTAATTATAAGAATATTTTTATTAGTTTTTCGCTGGTTAGAATTTGGATTATACTTTCGAGAAATTTAAACTTTTGCCACGTCTTTCTTTTCATCGTTGGAGAACGATTGACAATTGGTAAATAGAAGATCGTTATTCGAAAAGTTAAAATTAATAATTAAATAGTTTAATAAAGAATATGATTTGACAAAGAATATGGTTTGAGAAAAATTGGAATTTTTAAACGTTTGCAATTTTTTATAATAGAATTAACTTTATCTTTATATTATTTTCTTCTCAAGTTCTTTGTAAAACATAATTATAAGAATATTTTTATTAGTTTCCGTGCTAAAATCTGAATTACACTGTGGTCTCTCAAGAAATTTAAACATCCCTTTGCCACGTCTTTCTTTCCATCCGTTGGAGAACGATTCATGGTAAATAAAGGATGTTGGAAAATTGGAAAATTAGTTTGATAATACTGGAAGAATCGAAATTTTTAAATGTTTGCAATTTTTTTGTCGAAGATAGATATGGATTCGAAATTGAAAATATTAGAATCAACAATCCTTTTGCAATTTCTCCTCTCAAGTTCTTTGTTGAAATAACGTAATAAGGATAATCCACAATAATAAAATATAGAAATTGTCGATAAAATTCTGGAATCATATGATCATCGATATCGATATTTTTGTTATTACTTGTTCAGCCCAGATCCGATCTGGAAGATCTGGAAAGATAGTATACGACTTTACGCGCAGACAGATACGCAGACGGCTGATGATTTGTGGCTGTTTGGAGAATCGATAGGTCGGGGTATAGATCATAGGAGGGAGATTTAATCGATCGGGATAAAGGCTGGTCTATAATTAGGAACGAGAATGGCGAGTGTAATAAAATAGTCTGCTGAAACAGGTTGGCCTGTCGACCTTGAGATAGTCGACCTGCTCGCCGTGATCATCACGAGAACAACGGTGCGTTTGAATTGTGGCTTTTAGATGGCTTATTGTTGATATATATCGATATACATCGTAATACATTCCGTTACGATTACAATCTCTACCCAATTTTTCTCTATGCGAAATAAATTACGTAATAAAATTTATATAAGTTTTCCCAAATTTTTAATCACTTCTAATCTAAAATTCTAATTTAACGATAATCAACAATTGAATATAAATTTTCTTCCTCTTCTATATTCTCTTCTTTCCTTTTTCTCTAGAATTATTAAACTCTTAAACAAAAATTAACCGATCGACGAAGTGGAACAAAAAAAGGGGCAAGTTATCCAATTACTGGAGAAATTCCTCTCGAATTATTTACGAATTTATCTGCCACCTGACACAATGGTGGTTACTAGTAGCACGAGTAGAGCGTCGAAACAGGAGGACCGTGCACGTCGGCCCGTTGTTAATTGCCATAATGAAGATTATTTGCGGCGCGGTTCGCGTAAAAGGGTGCGCCGTTGTCTCGGTAAAATGGCCGCGTGACCGTGCAGAAATTCGTTACAATAACCCCTCCCATCTTTTGATTTACAAATATTTTGCCGAGTTACGAGAATTAGCTATACACAAATGTCGAATGGAATTTTTTTTAAAATTGATGTTGATCTCCTCTCGAGATATTAAAGGGGAAAAGAGAGAATTTTGCAGTCTTTTTTTCCTATTGTTTTTTTTTTTTTTTTTTTTTTTTTTTT